AGAGCATAATTAACTAATACTCTCTCTCTCTCTCTCTCTCTCTCTCTCTCTCTCTCTCTCTCTCTCAAAATACTAATTTTTTAAACCCCAGGACCCACCTAAATATCGTTATTACCAAAATGCAACTAACTACATTCATAAAGACAGAAAACAAACCACCCAAATGGTTGCTGACAGAAACATAACTAGAAATGGCACCATTTATTTTTACTGTAGCATGTTCAAGATCGGCCAGTCCGGTGTGGATGGGGTCTTCAACCAATGGGCCATTGAACTAGAGAATATCTGGTTCAATGCCTGAACCAACCAGTCCAGGCATTGAACCAGATATTCTCTAGTTTAATGGCCCACCGGTTCAAGACCCCATCCAACAGGTGAAGGCACTGGTTCTCTGTGCAAACAGTCAAATCAACAGGTCTTGTCCAGTCATGATTTCACAGAGGCTTTTTTTTTTTTCCAATTTTGCTTCAAGGACCTAATATTCACAAAGGATTTTCTAATCATCTAACATGTAATGATACAGGCAGAAATATAATAAAATAGGTCATTTAGAGATTTATGGCAATATGTCTTAAGTTAGAGATTGAGAACTTATAGGGAAAAAAATATTTCTAAATAGGTAAGAATATCTTAGGAAGTATTAAAAGTGGACCCAAAGGGTATTATGAAAAGATTCTTAATCTCAAGATGGTATTTGGTTCCCACAAAAAGTAGATTCAGAATGTATTATTGCTTTGGTACCTAGCGAAAAAGATTTTTAAATTTATGCATTGTGTACTGTAAAGCTCGGTTTCGACCCAAAGGGTATTATGAAAAGATTCTTAATCTCAAGATGGTATTTGGTTACCACAAAAAGTAGGATTCAGAATGTATTATTGCTTTGGTACCTAGCAAAAAAGATTTTTCAATTTATGCATTGTGTACTGTAAAACTCGGTTTCTTTATATATGTTCAACAGGATGCGATCTTAATGTTTTCATTGTGTTCCTCGTCATTTTTCCATGGGCTAGCATCATGGAAGATGCTAACTGCCCTATTTTGACGGGAGAACCAACCGTTTTTTCTTTTCTTTTTTAAGATTGGCGGGAGAACTACAAGCATTAGGGTCAGTCTTCGTAATAACTTAATCAAGTATCATTTGTCCTTCTTTCATACTCCAAAAAGAGAGGGTGAAAATCAGGGGTTTAGAGGGAGTTCTTGCTAAGAGGGAATATACCACCTAGACAGATAAGCAGCGGTTTGCAAGTCTTAGCACCAAGGTAGTCTGGGGATGAGACACTTGAGCGAGGTTACAAAAATCCTAGGTGGCCCCTAGGCGCACAGCACCCAGGCGGGCATCTAGACAGCCACCCAGAAATGCTGAAACACATTCAATTCTTCAAATCATTGAAATTTTGATTCTTTGAATAATTGAAATAGTGAAAAACATAAGCAAATTATAGTGTATTAGTGTCCATATTCCATAGTGGCATACTCCATACTTCACAGTTAATAAAATCATCATATATACATGCTCCAATTCTCCAATAAGACCAATACAAAATGATGTGATACAAAAGAAATGAAAGAGGAGATCTTTGATTCTTCAAATCAACAATTTAATCATCATCTTCATTCACTTTTAAGGGATTAAGATTGAGTTTTTTCATTTGGAGGGATTTAGAATACCCCCAAAACACCCTTTTCCCTCTCTTTCATGGGTCAAAAAGACCCAATATGTCCTCATGGCCAATTTTCTTACTGCAAAAAATGGGCTTGGGCCTTAGGCACATGCCTAGGGCCAGGCACTGGGCACCCACCTAGCCCAACTGAGCAAGCACCCAATAACTGTGCCCAAACATCCCCACTAGGTGCAAGTGAGGCAGCCTGGGCCCCTTGGATGCCTAGGTGTTGGGCAGTATGTTTTTTAAAACATTGCGCCTGAAAATGGTAAATAAGTGTAGGTTGAGTACATGATATTGGAGTTATGAGGGAAAGATAGCAACCAAATTAATGGAGGGGAAGGAAGAAGGGGGTGTGAAAATTTGATGGAGGGATAAGGATCTCAAGATTCTTCAGTATCTTGAGTTAAGGAAATGAGATTTGCTCTATTACAATGGACTTCGTAAGTGGGGTACACTATAGATCAAAGTAAGAGTAGTGTCTGCTTCCAGTCAAAGGTGGGGTACCAATGAATTTTTAAATGCTAGTGCAACTTAGCTTTTGCAATCAAAGTGCTAATTGAAGACTCCATGGAGATGGACGTGATTTGGGTGGTTTATTCTGCTTTGTTTAGAAGGAAACTAAGAAAGGCAGAGACGTAGGAATTTGGATTTATGTTGGAAGAATGCCTCAGAGAGTAGTGCTTCCTTGGGAATGATCCAAGAAAAGATATGGAAGTGGGACAATGTGAGTATATCAATCAAACATTTGATTAAAGTTTAACTACGAGAGTGAGAGTTCTGGTACACGCCTCCTCTAGGGCACACATGCCACACTTTGGTTTATTTACTATATTGTTTTGCCATGGTTTTCAAGACTCGTTAATATGGATCACCTCCAAGGTGTGAGTGGCAAATCCCAAACGTTATTCTCATGTGTAGGGAGGCAAAGAAAGCTTTAGGACATATACTCATACAATATCCATTGGCACACAGAATTGGAAGAACTTTCCTTAGTTTATTAGGATCCATTGGGTATTGCCAAATTTGGTAGAGAGACATACAGTTGGCTGTCTAGTGTGACCCTAAATAAGAAGAACTGGCCCCCAGAAATCTTTTAAGGCATCTAGAAGGAGAGACACAAAAGGATATTTAACAACATGTATGTCAGTTGTGAAGTGTATCAATGATTATGTGATAATGTAGGCACTAAGATGCATTGAGATATTGGTTTCGCTGTCAAGGACTTCCACCAAGGATGGAAGATCACCAACCACATGACCAACCTGCAAGACAAGCTAAAGGTCTTATGATCCAAGCCACCAGATGAATGTCCTGTGCTCGATTTTGACATTGGCTCTAAGGAGATAGAATGTGTAGTTACATTGGCCTTGAAAGAATATAAAACTATTCTGATGCTAGGGAGACAAAAGCGACCGCCTCACTAGGTCTGCAATATTCCCTTGTTCTCTAACGGGTCCTTGATTGTAGAAGGCAATATGTAAAATAACACAAGGTGAGAGCAAAGAGAGAAGGACATCCCAAGGGATCAACCAATATCATGGAGTTGATATCAAGAAATGTCACAAGTATGAGGTGCCCACATGCTCATAGAAGCCAACAGCATGATAGATTCCCTTGCTCTGAAAGAAAGTAGGGAGAGACTCTCTTTTGTACGAATATTCTTGTCCTGACCCTTCATATTTTCATTAACCTCCATCAGCACCCCTTTATTTTTCTCTTGTTTCATGTTTATTGTTTCCATAACTTTCTCCCCTTCTACCTCTTATCTCTCTTTGTTCTATCGTCTCTCCTTTATTGATTATTTATCTTCGCTTGCTACAGGTAACTTGAAGTAAAACATTGTCCTGGCTTCTATCCATCGAATAAAAGTAAGATTTTCAAGAGCTTGAAGTGATAGGTGATCCATCCGAACCGAGCTTAAGATTCATGGTGGGGGATGGAAATAAAGCAAAATCCTAACCAATGTTTGTTATGGAACTAGAAGTTTGGAAAGTCAACTCCTACGCATGGTCATCAAAGCACCCATTAACAAGACGGTGGTTGGTGGATACATACAATACAAGGAACAGGGGAGAGGGCATTATGGGATCCAGCATAGAGAAGGAACAAGAGGGATAGAAAATTAAGGATCTAGGATGATTCATAGGATGATTGGATAAAACTTCCATTATAAAAGAAGAATAGACAAGATATAATGGAAGTTGGACAATGTGAGATAATTCTTGATCAATCATTCTTTAGGATCCTTAATAAGGAGGAAGAGACTAGGCTCCGAAGCCACCTTCTTGCAAGAGTAGGGAGAAACTCCATGCTAAAGATTCCGGCCGGATAACTGTCCACATAATAAGGTCCTTATCATAGTCCAACTCAAAAGGGGGTCGTATTCAATCCTCACACAAAAATTTCTAGTGAGGCTGAATAGGACATGGCTGTCTCATTAAAACTACACCTGTAAAAGTAGGACTACAACTATACTTTCCAAACTATTTGAGAATGGCTGGGTGACGCTATGGTAAGTGTGACTCAGTGTTGATTGTTGGCCCGATTGTCGGCTTCCAAAAAGAGGTCATCTATATGGATGACATTCCCGTCATGTGATTTCTTAGGAGATAAAGGAATAACAGAAACTAGAATGTAGTGTAAATTACTGAGAAGGCAATGAAAACTATCAGAGATACAGTGATTTCAACCTAGTCGAGACAGAATTTGAGGAATTTATAGTGAAGATGATGCATTAAAGAAAGATTACGAGTTTCAGAGCCACAGAAATTTTGTCCAAGGGAATAATGGGATAAGCTTGCCTACTTGAAAATCAATCTTGACAGTAGCTCCTTAAAGTCCAAGAGAGTTGAAATTATCACTTAGAAATTGATTATCAAAGCAGAGTACCAGCATATTACAATGTCATATCAAAGAGAAAAGGTCCATAGATAGGCTAGTGGAAAGCCACAACAAACGACATATAAACAAGAAAGGTTTCTTTCACTTTTTCTGGAATCAGAAACATTTTCTCTCACGTTTTCTCGATTCTCCTAGTACTGGATGGCAGTTAACACAATATTAGATAGCCAATAGCCATGGTGAGATGAGAATCACCCATTGAGAAATTCCGTCGCCATGAAATAGATTTGTACATTGGCAGCTTGCGAATGCATTAAGTTTTCTTTTCCATGTGCTCATGGAAGTCAACGAAAAGATAAGACTTTCTAGCACATGGTGAAGATGGTACAGAGATCGTACTAGCTGAGGAAAAAAAATTTTATAATGTGCCCTAGATGACATCTACAATTTAACTTGCATATACTCATCTTAAGCAATTTAATGGTCATTTATACTAATAATGCCATGACTATGCACATTATCATAACAGAAACAAACATGATACATAGTCACAGCAGAAAATAAATACTCATAATTGAATCAACAACTGAAAATTTCAGGTTTTTAACGGGAGAAGGTCTAGGTATGGAGAGAGAGTGTGCGTTTTTAAAGCAAACATCAAGCGAAGACACAGACTTATCTACCAGGGAAGAAAAGACTTATGTATGAGGAGCAGAAAAGGAAAGAGGAGAACAAACAGCAGGAGAAGATAGGGAAAGAGAGTCCCACCAGTTTAGGGTGATCTAGATCCTTTCGTATTGTTTTTCCTTTTTTTTGCAAAATACAAGTGTATTCTGGTAACTGGTAAGAGGATCAAATAGCTTTCAGATATTCTGGTAACTGGTAAGTGTATTCTGGTAACTGGTAAGAGGATCAAATAATTGGTAAGAGAGAGAGAAAGAGAGAAAGGGAAGACAAGCGGGCCGCAATAGCATAGGAGTGTGAAAACCTAGAGACAGAGTTTGCATGTACCTGGTTATTGAAGCCTCCTGCGACGAGTAACTGAGGTGGACGGGGAAGAAGAGAGAGAGAGAGCTAGGGCTGGCAGTGCGGACAGAGGGGTGCGGCAAGGAATGGGGCTGGCTTGCTTGCTTCCTTTCCGGGTCCACGAAAGGGAAGGAAAGAAGGCCTTGCTTTGTTTCCCCTTCGCTCTCTTATTTCTATCTAATTTATTTCGGGGAAAATTGTTTCATGTGGGCTAGACCGCATTCTACAATATGCAGTTCAGACATCCATGTCAAAGATGGATGCTAATAGATGGTCCATTTAAAAACAAGTGTATCTAACGGTCCAAATGTTTTTTTAATATAATTATTATTTTTAATTTTCAATTTTTGCTTTTATCTCCATATTAAAGATTATATATTCTCTAAAAACTAGGATCAAATTATAGTTAAAAGATATATTTATTGCTAAACCCGCATTTCTACAATATGCGAGCTGGAAGCATAGAAATTGTCCTTATTTCCAAGGGTAACTTGCAAATGAGATGGGCTTCGGGGTCGGGCCGGGTCCGGATGCACCCGGACTTGAAAATATAATGTGGGATGTGGACCCAATCGACCTGCCAAAAATAAAAATATCTATGCATTTGAAAAAAATTCACTATTTTTCATAAATTAGGACTCAAAAATATATGTGAGACCCAGACTCGAACCCAAATACTGTTTAGGTCCAAAAATTGGACCCGGACCCAAATACTGTTCAGGTCCAAAAATTGGACCTGGACCCGACTTGCCAGGTCCATTTTTTGTACCCATACCAAGACTTAGGTCGGGTTTGCCCGTCGGGTCCTAGATCGAGTCCGCCGAGTCGATTACCACCCCTTATATGGTATTGGAAAGGTCGACTCAGGTCGAGTATTGGGCCCAAGTCTAGGACAAGTACGCAGCCCAAGCCCGAGTAAGGCGGCCCACGTTGGGCCGAGGTCCAACAAAAGACAAAAAGTAGCAAAAATTATATATATATATATATATATATGCTAGCGTGGATAAGTGGGCCTACAACCACATATATGCCCAACTACTCAGATTGAATATAGGCTGATCTGACGGAAACGACCTTATTTTGTATTTTAATTTTAATTTTTTCTACAAATCCAAATCACGTGAAATTTTAGATATTTATTCTTCTCATCAAGGCGCACCTAATAAAACTATTAACAATATAATTTGCAATATATAAATTGATCAAAATACCCCTGATAAGTTTTGTGGGTATTTTAATCAATTTATTTCTCACGAAATATTTTTTTGATCTTTTTATTGGATTCTCCTATTTTTAAATAATACACCCCCACATTTTCAAGTGATTTGGATTTATAGAAGAAAATATATTCAAATACGAAATACAATCGTGATCCAATGATTGGTCCAAATTGAATCTGGGCTGTTGGGCTCAAATGTAGCTGTAGGCCCACTAGCCGCCTACAATATATATATATATATATATGGAAAACACTACGTGACACCTATAGGCGAAAATGAACAATGATTTCGACTATGCTCATCACCGTCTGAAGTTCATCGTATAGTCACAGTTGTCCGGTAGTGTTTTATTTTTCATTTTTTTCTACAAATCGGAATGATCTGAAATTTGGAGCGTATGTTCATAAAAAATAGGATAATCTAATAACAATATATAAAAAAATAATTCGCAAAATATAAATGATCAAAATTCCCCTGAAAGGTTATAGGGGTATTTTGGTTAATTTATATTTAACGAAATATTTTTTTCATATTTTTATTAGGTGTGTCTCACTAATATGTATGCATGATCCAAATTTCATATCATTCTGATTCATAGAAAAATAACAAAAAATAAAATACTACTAGACAATCGTGATCATGCGATGAACTTTGAACGGTGATGAGCATAGACGAAATCACTGTTCATTTTCGTCTACAAGCGTTGAGAAGACTTTTCCAATATATATATATATATATATATATATATATATGGAAAAGATTGTATGCACGAGGTTACGTACGTGGGTTGTATACGCCAACGGTTGGGATCGCTCATCCCAAATCGACAGTCCACTTCAAAAAAACATTTCCCTGCGCCTCTCTCTCTCAACTCTCTCTCTCTCTATACCCCCTCTCTCTGCAACTTTCCCTGCACCCCTCTCTCTCTCATGTCATCCCTCTGTCTCTATGCCCCCTCTCTCTGCATAAGCAAGCATCAATCATAAGCATGCATCAGTAAATCACGCGTTTCTCTCTCATCACGCCTATCTCTCTCAGCCATCCCTCTCTCTCTCTCTCTGTGCCCCCTTTGCCTCTCTAAAAAACCTGAAGCATGCCCTCTCTCTCTCATTAGTAGCAGGCATCTCTCTGTGAATCTAAATCATGTGTTTTCAGGTATGGATGGCCATTTTTCATTTTACTGATACTTCACCATTTTACCATGGCCATTTTTCATTTTACTAATACTTCACCATTTTACCATGGCCATTTTACTTTTTACTAATGCTTCTTATGGATGCCATTAGCAATTTTACTGATGCTTTTTATGGATGCCATTTTACATTTTATTGATGCTTCTTATGGATGTCATTTTACCATAGTTACTTATGGATGAATGATGTCAGTTTACTGATGCTTTCTTATAGATGAGTGATGCCATTTTACTGATGCTTGCTTATGGATGAATGATACTTGCTTATAATTTGTACAAATTAATCATATACAGATTTCTTGGCCACATTTGGGGTTTCGGTTTTTCAATGGTTGAATGTCTTACACAGAGCATAGAAATTTCTTTAGAAATTTGTACTTGACAGATTTTGTGGCCATGTTTGGGGGTTTCCGTTTTTCAATGCTTGAATATCTTACACAGAGGGGTAAATCCCATACGAATTGTTGACCTCTTTTCTCAACTACTTCACTAACTTTATGATAAGGAGTGGCAACAACCCTATAAAGATCAGGGAAAATAGACTTCAATGGATACTCCCCAAGCCATTTATGATGCCAAAACGGGATTTGATTGACATTCCCAACATTCCATCTGAAGTAACCCAAGATCATGGATCTACAATTGAAAATAGCTCGCCACATATAAGACACATCTTTCTCTCTACCACCCCAATCCACAAAATATGCCTATCCATCCCATATTTAGACCATAAAACTTGATACCAAAGATGATTTTTCAGGTGTAAGCTGCGCTACCACCATTTGCAAAGCAAAGCCTTATTAAACTTCGAAACTTTCCATACACCCAATACACCTTCATGTTGGAGCGTGCAGACTCTATCCCACCTTAAAAGATGGAACTTCCTTCTCTCCCCACTTGATCACCAAAGGAAGTCTCTCATCATCATTTCAATTCTCTTTGCAATCGAAGCTAGCAAGTGAATAAGGGACACTTGATACATTAGCAAGTTAGCAAGGCAGGACCTAAGCAAAGTAACCATTCCCTCCAGAGACAAGTACTTGTGTTTCCAAAGGTCAAGCTTATGAAATTGGAAGTCCCAGATAAGTGATAAGGAAAGAATCCACTCTATATCCCATCACCTTAGCCAGTTCTCTGAAATGTATTTTGCATAATATATGTTGGATTTTAATGGATGACCCGTTCTTGGTGGGTGGACCTCAATGAAATTGTGTTGTTTATCATGAGTGGAAGAAATAGAGAAATTTTTGTTGTATAGCGTGGTTGAAAACTTGCCCACCTTCAAAAGAAAATGGTTGTTTAGGTGGACTTACAATTAGAGGTATACCCTAGCCAGATAAGTTGCCAATCCTACTCCTATTCAATATTCCTAGATAGAACATATTTGGTCTATAATACAAGCATGTTAACCTTACCAAAAATCTCAAAATTGCTCTTGTTAAGTTTGCCCATTATTTTTGAAAATTTAAAATGAATCTCAAAAAGGTAATATGGATTTCAAGTAAAGGCCTTCAAAATTCCTCAAAAAGCTAAGATTTCAAAAATCATACTCCATGATTACACGAGCCTAAACTGATGCAAAATGGAATTCAAAGTTCATATGGCATGAAATCGTATTAAATCGTATTTTGAATCTATGTTTCGGAGAGGAAAGATCTCCAGAGATTATTAGCTCATTCCATTCCAGTGGCTCGACCAGTAACCAAGGGCGAAAACTAAAAAATCCATGGTTTCTTGCCCATTTAGCCCAAGCGGAAAAAAGAAGCGGTTTTTTCAAATTTAGCCCATGCTCTACATGAGCCTAAACCATTGTCCCCTTGCAATTTCAAATTCAAAAACATCTAATCCATAATGACATAAAAGGTCTGGTGCTTTTCTATTTTAAAGTCAAAATGTCTGATCTGTATGACTTAAAAGGTCAGGTGTTTTTCAAAAAGTGTCTAGTCTCGTCTTATATTAATGTTAGAGAAGTACCATCCTGACATTAAACTGCAACAATGTTAAATTACGAAGCTCCATCCTAGGCATGATGTTAAACTCCGAAGTTTTATCCAATACATGAAGTTAAACAACAAAGTTTCATTTTAGACATGATGTTAAACTGCAAGTTTCCTTTATTGTTACATGATGAAAAATTGCTTGCAAGGCTCCATAATTGTCACACCCCAAGAATTTACAATATTGATATTTCTGAGATGTGACAGTACAAAACATATATAACATCTCTTGAAAGGAC